CCCTGAAAACTTTCTCTATAGACCAGGCTAGCGTCAAACTCACAGAGATCCGCCTGCCTTTGCCAGTGAAGTGCTGGCATTAAAGGTTCATGCCACGACACATGCTTCTTCTCTGCCTTCTGATGTTGAACACTGGGTAAGTTTGATGTGCTTCCCTGAGTCTCATTGAGTTTTTTCCTCCTGCCTGTGACCTTACTGCTTGTAGCTGCCCATCCAAAATCCTGAAAAAGTTTTCATGGCTCAACAGCCCAGTGTATGACTGACTGTCTAGAGATTTGCATCAAATTTTCCCAAAAGATGAGAAACTCTTTCAATCTGCAGTATTTTTCTCTTTTTCAAGTAATGTGTCTTTCTTCATTTTTAAAATATATACATACACATAATGTTTTGAATTATGTTTTGAAATATTGACTTCTGGGACAAAAATAGCCACTACATTTGTTGACCTTGGCCATTCAACTGTGTTTCCTTTTTTCTAACTACATTAGCCCACTTTCCTTTTTCAAACCTTTCTCCTTGTCAGTTTCTTGCTATTTCTAATGATTAATTTTGTTCTATAATAGCAAGCTTTTGTCATTCTCAGGTGATCTTAGCAGGAAAGCTCCCTTTTCATCACAGTCTATAGTTTGGCCATTCCCCTTTCAGCTGCTGTTTTGTGTAACTTATGCTCTTACTAAGGTGTGGTGTTTCTGAGAAGCAATTTTTAGATAATATCGTTGGTCCAAATTTTTCTGTTTGGTGAAACCCTAAGATTAGTTGGGCAGGAATTGCCTGTTCCAAAGCTCAGCTAGGGCCTTACTTGTATGCCTGCATTTCTCTAGAGAGGCCATGTTTGAATCCTTTCCCTCAGTTCACCAGCTTTCTCTTCCATAATTTCTTCTCCTATGCCTCAGGCATGTGGGAGAAGAAGGGTACCCCAAAATGCTGAGACTATCCCTCAGTTTGCTGCTCTCCAGCTCTGGGAATACTGGAGTTGTTAGGAACTTGTTGACTTAAAAGTAAAATTCTAAGAGTTTTACTTGGCTGATTATTGGAGGCATTCCACACAGCACATATCTTTCCTTTCCTTTTTTCTTTTGTGCAGTTTCTGTTGAATGCCATGTTTAGTGGATTGTGTTTGTTTTCCAGCTGAGGCCATTCTGGGACCCACTTCGGTAGCAATCAGTGTGAGGAATTATATCTGAAGGACATCATCACACTATGCATCTCCAACTTCAATGTCATCATTTAGAATATGTTTTTAAGTTCAGAATTTTGATTTCTCGCACACATTCTAGGGCTTTAGAGGATGTTCTTACTGAAGGGACACATTTCTGATTACATTACCTGCATGTGCCTCAGAAACATGACGCCCTCATCTTGCCCCATTACCAACAGCCTCACTGATGAACAGTTTTATTTTCCAGTACCATCCAAATATTCCAACTGATAATAGACTTAAAGGTGAGATGGTATGAGTTAGAAAATAGCAAAATATCAGTTAAATGTCATGCAGTAAGTAATTCTCATAGAATGGTGGTTTTCACAGACACCCTCATAACTCTATTCTACCTTTGAAATAGACACAGTTGATTACTGAGTCCAGAATGCTCCATTTCCCTCAGTATAGCATACCAAGAGATAGTAGACTCTGGAAAGGTGAAGATACACCTTAATAAAATTGTGTCAAAATTTAGACTTAAATGTTTTTATGTCATTAAAAATAGGAATACATAGTGAATATGATTTTTCTTTATTTTAATTCTAGCAGACAGCAATTCCTTCATAAATTGTCCAACCTTGAATGGACATTCCTGCTGTCCAACATGGCAGGCAACATGCCTGGCAACAGGAAAACACCCCTCATTGTGCTAATTCCTGCTGATAGACCTGAGTCAATACTGGTAAATAGTCCATACAAGCCCCCAAAGTGGAAAAGCACCTGGCAGCATTTACCACTTTTGATGGATTTCAAAATTGACCATTGTAGAGTATTTTAAACTGAGACATTAGCAGATCAAATAATGCATGCAGACCACCTCAATCTGACCATAGTTATTAGGGAAATATGCAACTGTATATAACAGTTGCAATCCAATGGCATAGAAGTTCTCTGCAGAAAAATAATGTACGTTAACATACAAGAGCTAATATAACAACAGCAACAACAAATATCATTGTGAAACATCGCTAATCACACTGTCTGATTGAACATAACTAAACTCAGGGCGTATCTACTGGAGCCTCACAGTTTGAGAACATACTCGCAGCTTCTTTGTCCGTGACTACTATATGATGAGATGTTTCACAGAACACACACATACGAAGCTACCCTGATACATAGTCATGATTCACACAAGAAAGAGATGTCGTTCTTAGGAAAGCAAGCTATCCAAAGAAACAGCAGACTTATAAAAAAAATTAACAAACTGGATTACAGAACAAAAACGTATTTCTTCATGGACAATCCAACTCATCTGGATGGTTTGGCAAAACCAGAGGGCCATGTTCCTCCACTTGAAATGATATCAACACACACACATACACTTTGCAGATGTGTCTGCACATGTGAACCCCACAGGGATGCTGGGAGGCCAGTGGGTGCACACCATCTGTGATTATTCGAAGCTGAGCATCTCAACTGCACAACTAGTGGGCAGCAGGCTCATGAACATGAGTTCTCGGACAGCACCTCTACTCCCACCCCACCATGTGCGTGTGCCGCGTGTGTTTGTCCTATCCATCAGTCACTGTGCACTTCTTATCCTGGAGTCCAAACCAGGTCAGTGGTCCAAGGGAGAGGAAAGCGAGATTTGTAACTCTATCAAGGGAAACAGGTCTTTAATCTAGTGATGAGTCCAAAGATCTGGCGAAGGCTCACGAGGACCGACCACCCACTCCCGAATTCTACTGCTGTGGGTCTAAGTTTGCTAAGGATACAACAGCTGAGGAGGTTTGCAAACCAGTTAAAAGGAAACATCAGGGGTAGAATCTAAGCATTTTATCTTGGAAATGTGCTTGGTTTCTTCATGATACAGAACCCAGTGTCTCAGAAGTAAAATACACAAAAAAGACTGAGTGAATGAAATCTAAGGTTACACTTGTAAAGCAAAGTCAAATATCATAGGGCACCATAGGAATCAACTAATTAATGCAATGAGTATTCTAACTTTTAAGAACAAGTACAACTTAGATCTCCCTTGTTTGTGTGAGACAGACTGTTGGGCCACCGCAGAGCTACAGCACTCCTCTTTGGTTAGAGCCGGTGCCGGATGCGGCCGCAGGTGGGACTGGCTGCCAAGCCATCTCAAGGCCTCCAGTTTGAAAATGTTACACTGCATACTGATCTTTCATTGTCAGGCAAATGACTTTGGCGATTTGAGTCAAGTCGTTTGGTTATCAAAATCAAGGAAAAAGAGCAAAGCTTGCTAACACGCATGTGGCTAGCGCAGTGTCAGCTAACAGTCGTTCCTTGCAGGACACAACTATGTTTCTAGTTTTTCAAAGAAATATAACAGAGACAAAGACTAAAAAGATATCGTGGTACTGAAGACATAGCTAGAACAGTTCTTTCTAAAGTGTTCATTGAAGTCTCAGAATTGTAACGCTAAGCGCTCTCTCCACCCCGGCACACCTGCTAGCCCCTCCCCAGCCCTTGCCCACTTTCACCCACAGTGAAAATAAGCCACGGATGTTCTAGCAAGTTCACTTTTGCTAAATAGAGACCGCTCATGAATACGATTTCTATGACACTGGTGTAGAATACCAAATTTTACAAAACTGACATTTCATTATGATTCCATAAAAAGACTGGGTAAACAGAGGATCTGAAAACCATCACGAGAGCAGAGCTTTACCGAGAGCTGGCTTTAAACAGGACCCACAGATGGGGATGTGTATGGGCATGGGAGCCAGCTTCATGCCAACCTGTGGAATATTCCTTAAGTGTACTCCGGTAAAAGCTGTTTTATATTACAGCCTTATCAGGGCATCTAGGCCGTGACCTATAGCTACAGGGAAGCCCACTGGGGGACGCGGAAGCTCCAAGGAAGAACCAGTTTAGGTTATAGCTCTCGGGAGAGGAAGACAGGAGCAGAGTAACAACAGCTTATGAACTGATTGTAGGAAACGAACAACAAACAGCAGTTAATAAAGTAAATCAGACTGCCTGCAGAGTATGAACTTTTAACAGAAGTAGACAGAGAAGTGGTCAAAGCTCTGCCCCATCAGTACATCTCATAGAGCTCAGGCATAGAAGAAAACTACAAAGGAGAATTTGACAAAGCATCGCACCTGCTTTGAACACCTCTCTCTCTCTCTCCCTCCCTTTCTCTCTGTGTGTGTGCGTGTGTGTGTGCGTGCGTGTGTGTGTGTCTGTGTCTGTGTGTATATATATATGCATGCATGGGTGTGTGTATCACTGCACCTGTCTGGCAATGCAAGACTTCCCAAGTGTTTGGGGGTAAATTAAAATAAGCATCTGGTAATAATTCTATTCCATCCAAAACAGATTCACTTTGAGCTACAGAGAAAAAGCCACATTAGGGAAGGAATAAAAGTACCTGAGAACTCCACAGACACAGACTTCAGAAGGTAGGTCTATAAATAGTTGTGCTTGTGAATGCACACTGTAAACAGAAAACCATCCGGCCGGCTGGAGCTGCAATTTCAACTGAAGCCCCACCATGAACTTAAGTCCCACGAGCAGGCGTTCCCAATCAGCCCAGGGCAAAGGCGAACACCGTCCTTTTACTTATCTCAGTATCTCTTGAATCAGTAGCAATACTTTGCAATTTCATTCAGAGGCAGCCTTCTTTAACCACACTCAGAACGCACAGGGAAATGGTAAGGGAAGGATCTAAGTGAAACCCTTCAAAGGCACCGGGAGAAAAACAAAACATCAACATCACACCGGAAAAGCTATTCCTTAAACAAGCTGTTTTCCCTTCATTTCCCTGCCAGCCTGCTCTCCAGCCTTCGCAAACATTAAACAGGCATCCCAGCTATAGGAGAGAGCATACCTGAGCTGATCATACCGTGCATTCTTTGCTGAGCCAAGAGCTGCTCCCGTCCGGCCACTCCATCTGAGGAAACACAGGAGTCACTCTCATAAATTGTCTGCAGCATGCTCCGGTCACTCTTACTTCAGCTCCGTGAAACATCCATCACGGCTGCCTGCTCTGGTCCCAGGAGCTACCCTGGCTGGTCCTCCCTCCTCCCCGAGGAGAAACAGCAAGCAAGCGGGGGATCAACTTCCACAATGATTTCCTTTCTGCTTAGATGGACATAGCCTTTTTTTTTTAAAAAAAAAAAAAAAAAAAAAAAAGACCTGGGCTCCTTTTCCCCCCAGTTACCAACCTGTGTGCAAAGCAGGAAGCAGAGGATGCTACGGCTTGCTGGAGTTTTAGGTTATCCTGGAAACTAAAAGCAGGCAGGCAACAGGAATGTGCCTCGGGGTTATTTCTTTGTAAGAATAAATAGAAAAATATTAACTCTACCCATTGGGGAAAACAAAGAAAGAAAGGAAGAAAAAACAATGAAACCTGGCGTCTAGCTCCTGGGCTGCTAGGGTTTCAGGCGAGATCCTCACCCTGCAAGTGGCTCCAGAGGGTGTCCTCCTATCTGTCTGTGCCTCTCTCCCTTCCCTTTCTCAGTCTCTCTCAGCTCAAGTTGGCTAAAGCTAGTGATAATCCATTTGCATATGAATCAACAACAGCATGGCCCACAGGCACAGAAATAGAACAATGGTCGGCCTGAGCCAAAAATAGGTCAAGCATGGCCGAGTGATTGGAGCCTGCATTAATGCATTTAAAAATACCCCAGCAAAGCCAGCTGTCCAGCCTCTATCTTTCAAACCATAATTCTCTATTGCAGGGCCTTAAAAGCAATTAACTCTTTCCTTCCTCGGGTTGCTTTCCATAATGGGTTTTCACACCGGCATCGCACCCCCTAAGAAGGGAAATAAGGAAAAAAAGGAGAAGAATCCTAACTCGGAGAGGGAGAATGCACACACATTTCACTTTATTTCTGTAGTATGTGTTTTTGGAAGAGAGAGCAGAGAAGTGCAGAGCTGTATTGGTTCTAAAATAATACTGGAAGCTTTTGCTCATAATGTGGTTTCTGCCTCACCCACGCCCAGCAATCCTGGTGTTCTATTTTGGTTGTCTGTTTCTCTGGCTACACTGCAGTTGGCTGGAGGACTAGAAGCTTTTCTGCCTTCTAGTTTCTGCACCCACAGGAGATTCAGCAGAGGTCATTTCTGAAAACAAGCTCACCCCAGAAGAAAAATTTTACAAAGGCTTGGCTTGTGGCTTGTTTGGTTGTTTTTTTTTTTTTTAAAAAAAAAAAAACTTATTTATCTTGTCCATTCCACAGCTCCTAATGTGATCTTAGATTACATATCAATTTTATTGCGTTCGGTTCCTGCTATACTTAAAACAAAAATCAAGCTGTGTCTTAGAAGTACAAGAATTTTTCCTGTCTCAGTCCCTCAGGCCAGACCCTCTTTACCTATAATAGAGGAATGTTGATGGGAATATCTACACCTATAAAGCAGTCAGTCAATACGTTCACTACCCAAGTGTCTATTTATACCTTGGATGGCTGAAATATAGACCTCAGTTTTGTATAGCATGCCAATCGAGTTTCAGGCCAACACACATTATAGACTTCCCCTGTGAGGTAGATGGAATGCACAGCTTCTCAAGAGAGTTTGATAATCTCTGGTATACATTAATAATAACCATTTCTCTCTCAGCAATAAATCCAGCATCCCGAGAGGGGACATCGGCATCTAGCCAGTTCTAAGGGCAAATTCAAGAGTGGTACCCATCATGCAAGTTCTTCTTTGACAAACAGACTCAGCAGGGGCATCAGCAGGGGCAGGGAAAGGAAAGGCCAAAGACCAGTCACAGAGCAGAGGCATTTCATCACACCCAGGCTGGGGAGCCAGGAAAACCAAAGATGGACGCACAGAATTCTGGCAAAGGGAAGACAAGGCAATACTGGCTGGATTCTCTTCCCTGTGTCAACTAATCTCTACCCATTACCCCTCTTCAGGAAACGGCATTATTTGGACAGCTAACACACAAGAGTGTTAAAACAGTATTTTTTTAATATCCTTGCAAATAGGCAGGACAACAAAATTGTAATGTTTCTATCAGTGGAAAATAGGTTTCGTATTTCCTTTTTAAAAATATGCATGCATAAAATTCAAGACATGGAAATACTGTCCTCTACTAGGACGGCTATCACACACAGCACTTTAGACTTCGTGAAGACGGACCGTTCATGAGCTGCCTCGCTTTCCATCACAGGAGCTGCTCCCCCCACTGGGGCAGCTTCGTGGAGGGACGCAATATTCTTCTTTATTATTGTTTCATTCTTCTAATATTTATTCTCTAATGTTTTTGCACTGTAGGCTGTATCCCCATTTATTATCAAGGTTCCATCAGAAAAGATTTTAGACATCCATTCACAGAGATTGGAAATGACTTTTGTTTATAATTAATTTTTGTAAAGTAGTTATAAATATAAAACATCGCACAGGAGATTAGCCAGACCCTAGTGTAGACCATCTTAATTAACTTCTCTACAGTTAGAACAGCCATTCTGAAACTGTGGAGACTCATGTTGGATCTTATGCTTCTACTGTTAATTATATTTTTGTGGATTTATCCAACACAAAAAAAAACTTGAAAAATTAATGATGGAATTAAGCCTAGGAATACAATTAATTAACATTCTATTGGCTTCATTATTCCGTGTCCATGATTTAATGTGTGCATGTGGGTTTAACCCTTCCTCGCCACCTAAAATTTATCTTTTATTTTCTTCTTTCTACATGTTATACTTTAACCATGTGTATATTTGTTACATGTGCACATAACTGTAATAGGATAGATATGCATGAGAAAAAATGTTGTTTTAATTTCTGATGTCATATGACCTTAATATCAATTAGCACGCTTTAAGTTCGCCCACTTCTCTGTGATTTTGTGTCTTCACTTCTTTAAAGCTAAATTGTATTCCATTTTCTATATGTACCAGATCTCTTTACCCGTCCACGGGTAGTCGGGGAACTAGGTTGGCTCCGTTTCCTTGTCATAGTGAAGAGAGCGGACCATCATGGGGTGCAGACATCTCTATGGGGGGGCACAGAGTTCGCTGGGTGGATGCCAAGGAGTAAATCAGCTGGGTCAGGGTCATATGCTAGGTGTATTTTCAGATTTTTGAGGAATTTCCAAGTTGATTTACAAATGGTTGCATTCCTGTGCACCCCACCCGCAGTGAACAGGGGCTCCTCTCTGGACAGTTTCTCCAGTACTTGCCAGGGATTTTGATAAACGCTATTCTGACCAGGGTGAAGGGGGGAATCTTAAAAGTTTCAACTCACATTTTCTTGATGGCTAGGCATAGTAAACATTTTTAAAAATTTGTGTTTCTTCTTTTGAAACCTCTCTTCCATTTATTAGGCCACTTCTTAGTTGGCAGTTTTATTTCCTTGATATCAAATTTCTACATTTCTTCTTGAAATTCTCTCTATCGGCCCTTGTCTGGTATATAGCTAGAAGATTTTTCTCCCATTTTCTGGCTGTTTGCCCTCTGATTTGTTTTCCTGTGCTATGCAGAAACTTTATATATGAATAACTAAAAAATATTTCACACAAACCAAGCCGAAAAGACCAGTCCACGGAATGAAGAAATTCTTTGCTAACTATGTGCCTGGCAGGTATACTCTGTAAGGAATTCCAAACGTTAAACACTAATAAAACAGTCAGTTAATCATTAAATTGTCTAAAACACTTAAAAATAGTTCTCAAGGAAAGAAATTTAGGTAATAAATAGTAAAAAAAAAAGAAAAGAAAAAAGTATTCAATATCCTTAGGCATCAGGAAAATGCAAATTAATATTGCTTTTACCTCTGTCAAGATGGATTTCATCTAGATGACAAATAACAACACTGATAGCCATGTTTAGAGAACGGAAACCTCATCCACCTAGGGTGGGAACTAAAACTGGTGCAGTCAGTATGGAAATCAGGGTGGAGTTCCCTGGGAAAGTAAAGCCAGAGCTATCATTTCAGCTCCTGTACTCTTGTTGCTATACACCCAGAGGACTACAGGCTAGCACCTGGCACAGCCAAGCTCATCACCACACTACTAGGATACAGGATCAGCCCAGAGGTTCAGCAACAAATGAATGAATTAAAAGATAATGGGGGTTACATGCGCATAATAGAATCCATTTGGCTGTAAAGAATGAAATTGTGACATTTTCAAGAAAGTTTATGGATCTAGTATAATCATCTTAAGTAAAACATGCCAGATTCAGACAAATATTTCTCATATGTGGAATATTGATTTAAATGTAAGCATGTGTGTATTCATGTAAGACATATATATATATATATATATATATATATATATATATATATGCACATGTATATATAGGGCATCAGAATAGAAAGGAAACTGTTAGGCAAGAAGATGAGATCTAAAGAGCAGAGGGCAAAGAGAGAGAGAAGGTAAGAGGTACACATTATATAATGTGCATATCGTAAGAGTGGTCAGGGGAAGAACTGGGAAGAGGAAAAAAAGCACCAGAGGGTGAGGGGCTGGCAAGAGAGGGTTGAATAGGTTAAATAGAAAGAAAGTTGATGATATTTGTGAAAATGTCACAATGAAATAGATTTTTCTACTAATGAAGGATCTCTGCCCTCCCACCGAGTCCTCCCATCCACCCATCAAATGTTCCCCGTTGGTCCATTGAGTGCTCCCCATCCTCCCATCACAAATGCTCCCTGTCCACCCATCGAATGCCAGCTGTCCACCCATCATGATTGCTTTCTGTTTCTGTGTCTCTGGAACAGAACCATCACTTCTAAACAGACTTGTGTAAGGGGACACAGGTGATGGTCTCCAGCCTTGGGTTCTCTCCTTACACAACCTTGCCCTCACCCAATGATACAAACACACCACTTTACTTTTCCAGAATAGAGTTTCAGATGAATTACTGATTAAAACAGAATAATTGTCTACTTATTTTGGAGTGTTTTTAACAGAATATACAAAAATTGTGGGAAAATATGTAAGACAAATAACACAATCATAATATTGGCATAATAGATGCCTACACATCCTTCGTCACTTCATGTTTAATTACACCCACAGACCACAATCGACAGAGAAGATCTCTAAGCTTTTCATGAGCAAAAAATAGAATAAAACTCCAGAATAGCAAGCAATTATCCCATTTCTCTGAGGTTCCAGGAAACAGCTGTCCAGTGTGTTTTCAGTTGGGCCGCGTTTTACATCTCACCTCCACAGAAAGCATTTATTCCACTTTCCTTTTCATTAGCAGCCCTGCCCTTCATTTAAGTCTTGACAACAAAAAATTATTTAGTGTGAAATATATCGGGCCTGTCATGAGGCAGCTGATGCCTGCCTCCCAGAAGAGAAAAAAAAGTCATGAAAACTAACACCCTGGACACTGACCACCGGGGTTTTCATAGCCAAAAAACTCAAAGGTAAGAAGCAGAATGTCTCGCATCATCTCAAAAGTGCTGTTAAAGAAAGGAAGGAAGTTTTTCCAGCTATTTGTGAGACCAGTTTTATGAAGGCAGACATTTTCCTTTACGCTAATCTTGACAAACTAACGTAAACACCAAAGTAAAAGGGCAATTTTTTAACATCTCAATACAATAAATTTAATTTGAGGAACTTCTTTTGAAAC